AATGTGACATCTCGGACTCGTATTCGGGTCATATACGGGTTGGGGTGTTACAATTTTTGATTAACTGAAGTGCATACTTCCTTTGATTCAAAGGTATACCTTCCTTTGACCTCAATACCTAAATTCCCAAAAAAAATACTTTAGCTCACCCAAATCCTTCATCCTAAAATGGCTATTCAACATTTGCTTTAATTCAATAATCAATTCATTACTATCACTTGTGATTACCAAATCATCAACATAGACTAATAACAAGGCCATTTTACCTTGCTTCCTCTTGATGAACAAAGAGTAGTCATATTTGCTCTGAACATAGCTGGTTGAAACCAATGCTTATGTAAGTTTCATATTCCACTGCCTGAAGGCTTGCTTAAGATCGTACAATGATTTTTGCATTCTACACACAATCATCTTCCCCTGACTGCAAAAACTCTTAGGTAGCTGCATATAGACTTCCTCAGAAAGATCTCCTTACAAAAAGGCATTGAATACATCCATTTGCAATAATGGCCAATTGAAGATAGAAGCAAGAGCTAAAATGGTTTGAATGGTAACCGTTTTGACCACAGAAGAAAATGTATCAAAAAAATCAATTCCCTCATGTTTATTATAACCTTTAGTAACCAAGCGAGCTTTATATCTCTCAACCTCACCTGATGCTTTGTACTTAACTCTATAAACCCACTTAAATCCAATAGGAATTTTCCTGATGGTAATGGAACAAGGGACCAAGTTCTATTAGATTCCAATGCATGAATTTCCTCTTTCATTTCTTGAACCCAAAGTGGATTTTGAACAGCCTCATAATAAGATTGAGGCTCAGAAATTTGAGAAATAAAAGATAAGAACATTTTAGTATGAATGGGTAAGTGATAATAAGAAATAGAATTGAAATTTGAAGAAGAAGATTGACAAGAACATACAAAATTATTTAACCAAGATAGAGGCTTAGATACTCTAGATGACTTCCTAGAAGGGGTAGGTGCACTTATTGAAGAAGAAGACTTGATTGAAACTTGAGAAGTATGTTCAGCATCAATAGTAACCAGCTCAGTAGGATCATTATGAAGGGAACCATAATTTTGAGGACTTCGAGTGTTTAAAGCCAAGAAATCATCATCAGGAACAAAAGTAGTAGATGGGAAAAAAATAGAATCATAATTATAAAGGGAAGAAGATTGATGAAAAGGAAATTAATTTTCATGAAACTTAACATCCCTACTAATGAATAATTTTTTTGAATCAAGATTAAACAATAAATAACCCTTTTGGGTTGGAGAGTATCCCAAAAAAATGAAAGCAAAAGAATGAGCATCAAATTTATCATGAGGATTAAGATTTGTTGCAAAAGATAAGCATCCAAACACTCTAAAATAGTCATAAGAAGGAGGTTTATGATATAATAGTTCAAAAGGGGTTTTCCAAGACAAGATTAAAGAGGGCAACCTATTAATTATATAACATGCGGCTAACACACATTATCTCCAAAATTTAAAAGGAACTCAAGACTGAAAACAAACGGGCCGAGCAACTTCTAAAAGATGTCTATGCTTATGTTTTGCAACCCTATTTTGTTGAGGAGTACAAACACAAGAACTTTGACGAATAATTCCCAAGGATTCAAACAAGGGAGAATATTCAGAGTTAAAAAATTCACGACCATTATCACTACGCACAACTTTAATTGAGACAGAAAATTGATTTTGAACCATTAAGATAAAGGTTCGAAGATAGGAAATAACATCATTCTTAAGCTTCAATAAGTACACCCAAGACATCCTAGTATAGTAATCTACAATGGTCAACAAAAAATGTTGACCAGCATGAATGGAAATTCGATAAGGCCCCCACAAATCAATGTGAATTAATGTAAAGAGATTAGTAGTCATAGAATTGTTGACTGGAAATGGAAGCCTAGACTATCTAGCTAAAGGACATATAGAACAATTTTGAATAGATTAATGATGCAAATTCATATTATTGAACATAGGTAATTTTTTTAATTGATAAGATGGAACATGTCCTAAATGAGCATGCCAAAGATTTTTTTTATTTGCATCAACTGATTTATGAGTATTGAGAAAAGTTTCAGAACTAACAAAAGGTTTACATGCAGAATATTGTAAGGCAGAAATAGAAAAAACAGAATTTAAAGGGAACCTAAGAATGTAAATACCTCTAAACTCTTTACCAATCACCCTCATCATGCCATTGTAAAGATCCTACAATATACAAAGATCAGGATAGAACAAGACAACACATTTTAACTCATGAGCTAATTTTGAAATAGAAATAAGATTGTGAGTAAAATGGGGCACATGAAGCACATTAGACAATTGAAGACCATTTAGAAACTTAACAGAACCTATGTGTGTGACAGCAAAAGATTTGCCATTAGGCAGCTGAACATATCTATGTGTGGATGTACAGGACACATGATCAATCATGCATTTAAAGTCTGATAGAATATAGTTAGTTTCTCCAGAATCCAGAATCCATTCAATTGAATCATGAGCAAGAGAGCAGAAAGTACCTGCCAAATTCACAGAGGAATCTAGACTAGAATTTTGAGTCGAAGCCTGATTCAGAAGCCCCAAAAGCTGCTGATATTTGTTAGATGTGAAGACTGGTGGAGCTAGAGAAACTACCTCACGATCACAATGATCTACTATGGCAGCTTGGGAGCCCATTTTCTTGTTGAACTTGAAGTCAGGTGGAAAACCAATAAGGCGATAGCAATTTTCCTTCTTATGGCCCTTCACCTTACAATGATCACAGGTAAGGGTTGCATCAATTGAAGGTAAGGGTTGCATCAATAATAATTTCTTCGAATAGTAGTATACGAATCATTCAATCCCATTAAGAACTGGAACAATCTTTGTTGAGAAACATGCCTTGAAGTGGACTGAGCATTTTCACAGGTACAATTCGAAAGAGGTACCAGTGCATCATACTCGTCCCACGGAAGTTTCAATCGCGAAAAATATGCAGAAATGGAAAACTCACCTTGAACCATCGTCGCAATCTCACGATAAAGGAAGAACACTCGGGAACCATCGACCTTATCAAAGCGTTCCTTGAGATCTGCCCAAACTAACGCTGCACTTGAGGCAAAGACGATTCCAGCAGACAATTCCTTGATCACCGAATTAATGATCCATGAAAGCACAAGGGCGTTGCATCTATCCCATTGATCTTGAATAAGGGGTTGAAAATCATCGCGGTAACAAACTCCATCAATGAACCCTAACTTATTCTTGACAAAAAGTGCGATTCGCATCGATCGACTCCAGATGGTGTAGTTGTCTAGCCCAAAAGTTGATGAGAAATCAAAATCATGCCCGTAGTATCCGAAGGATGAAGATATAAAGGGTGATTGAAATTAACAACCGTGGAATCCGTCATCGGAACCGTCGTTGATGGCTTCGTAACAGTTTCGTCGATGGTGCAAACCGAGGTATCGAATTAGCCTGATACCATGTTAAAATGTAATACAAGTAAATGGAAAATTACTTTTCATATCCACACTTCACATAAACATACAATATGTTCACATATATATACAAACATCCAATCTAACCACCTAACTAACTCAAAACTGTTTCTAACTAATTGGTAACAGAAAACTAATTACAAACTCAACACTTAAACATGTTTACAAGTACCATTTTATCATTTAAGTTTTATTTGATTTTTAAGATGAGTCGAGTTTATAAAATTTCAATCGAGTTAAATTGAATATATTTTCTTTGAATTTTTGTTCAAATTTAAATGTAATTACTCAAAAGGTTAGATTGATTCTAAGTTAAACTACTCTCTCTAATCATATATAATATATATAATTTTTTTCATCTTCTTTTTTCACATTTGTAAGTTAGATTTATAATATTATTTAATAAATAAAATATCATCTAAAATTATATGATGTTATTTTTTAAAAGAAGAGATTTTGATGATAAAGTATTGACGAGGGAATACTATTTTTGTAAAGAGTTACTGTGAAACTGTGGAAGGATCAAATTGAATAAAATATAAAATTAAAAAATTAAATTGCAAAAAATATTATTAAAACTACAATTTATTTTACGATTATGTGATTTAGAACTGAATTTTAAATAGAATAATAAAAAAATAAATTAAAGATCAAATTTAAAAACAAATAAATTATTAAGCTAAAGATTAAAAGGATTTATTTTATTTTATTTTCACTTTAAAAGAAAAATTTTGAATTTAGTTAATTAATTCTTATAATTTGAAATTTTACAAAATTGTTTTAAAATTGAATGTGATTTTTGTTTATCTTTGATATTTTGGTAAATAAAATTCCAACCTCGTGAAAAATAATAAATAAAGAATGAAAAGTGTATATATTTGATGAAAAAAAACCTCTCTTTTCGCATATTTACTTATTTAGGCATAACGATTCAACAACAGCACGTGGAGCAGAGAAGAACGGTTGCAGGAACTTTAATATTTGCTATGCTGCACAGAATCAAAACATCAGGAGACTTGATATTTTTTGGTGTTTACGCAAAAAATGGACTGTGGAGGGAGGCCTTCCTGGAAGCAACCTGGTGGAGTAGATCTTTTGTTTCGAGTCTAACCAAAACTTGAGCCCCTTCCCACCATAACAAAGCAAATATTTCCTTTACAGATAAATTACGTATTTAATCATTTAATTATAATTATAATTTTATTTTAGTTATTTAATTAATTTTTTCATCATTAATGTAATATTTATTTTTATTTTTATTATCTATATTTAAATTTAATAAGATATTAATAGATAACCATAAAATAATATCACATCATCATTTAAAAATAAAAATATTACATTAATAATTTTATTTATATTTGAATGATAGATATTTAAAATAAAATAAAATATAAAAATGATAATATTTTAAAAATATTAAATATTCATAACTGTAGAATCTCAAATCTTTATCTTTTAGCCTCCCATCTTATTTAAACCAAAACTCCGCTCCTTCCAAGTTTCAAGTTTGAACACCCTGCTTCCTCATCTTCTCTACCCTCCCAAGTCCCTATTTCCCCTTCGCAACATTTTTCTGAGTTTTCTTTGCTTTACGTCGTACTAGTACAGGTCCAAAACCTACGAGTCCGAGTTTAATTGTCGAGGCAGCCTAAAAAACAAGACAGGCTATTTCATCAGGAAATTTCGAATGAAAGACTCTTCTGGTGAGAGGCAAAACCATGTCAAATAGACCAATTTCTCTCTCTGATCTCTGCCTTACCCTCTTTCGCCTTGCTATGTCCATCGCTAATCCTTGGCCCTTTTCCTAATCCAATTTCTCTTCTTCTACCGCTTCCCCAAAACAAAAAAACAGACACAAAGCTCTCCTCTTAGCTGACGCTGCCCCCTTCACCATGAGAAAGATAAGAGGTTTCAAGATCGGTAAACGCCTTGTCCAAATCTCCAGATGGTTCATCCGCAAAGCTCGGAACCCACGTGGGTACTGTGGCTTGACAAAGCAAGGATCATCTTATAATCCAATGCCTTTCACGAAGCTCATCAGTTGGGGTCGCCGCTTGAAGAAAGGGGCTAAATCCATATTCTCTGCCAAACCCGGGTCGGGTTATGTTCCTATTGGTCGAGACCCGATCAACGAGAAGCTGATGGAAATTCCCAAGGGACACTTGGCCGTCTACGTCGGTCAAGAAGACGGCGTCTTTCATAGAGTTTTGGTTCCGGTTATTTACTTCAACCACCCTTTGTTCGGCGAGCTACTTAGAGAAGCCGAAGAGGAGTATGGGTTCAGCCACCAAGGTGGGATCACGATCCCCTGCCGGTTCTCGGAGTTCGAGAGGGTCAAGACACGTATTGCTGCCGGAACCGATGGAAGGAAATCGGCGTGGAAGCGCCACCACCACCGTTGATGGTAAAAATTATTGATGACAACAATAATTAAGTATGCTTAGTCGGTTTGATAACGATGTTTCAGGGATTTTCGGTTTAAAGTAGAATTTGTATACTTTTTCTCATTATACTTTTCCAATTACCTTTTTTACTGTAACGGGTTAGGGAGGTGTACATTTGTAAAGAATATTTTACTTATATCTGATGTGTCGTTTTAATAGAGGAATTTATTTAAATTTTATTTATAAATAATTATGATTGTGATCATAAGTGTGCGATTCTCATTTGTTTCAGCGTCATAACAATCGACTATTTATCTTAAATAGGGATAATTATCAAAAGAGTTAAAATCAATCTAAATCAAATATTGATTAAATTTTGATTGAACTAAATTTAAACAATTCACTTATTATTCAACTCATTAAACACCCGACCCTACGCTAATCTTAAGTAAGAAACAAGCTTCCTGACGTATACACTGACAAGTAATCATCATAAATATCTTTACATTATGGTTTTCATACCAAAAGTTTTCAAATACTATAATTAAATAAATTTTCTTAACCACATAAAATAAGTAAAAGAATAGCTTGATATTTATGTCAAATCCATAATTCCGAACAAAAATTCCCAATCCTACTTTGTTCACCAACATTAGTAGGGGAAATCCTCCATTCTCTATTGATCTATTTGTATTATAGTATTGTGATTTTAATTTTAGCCGATCAACTGAGCTCTTTGATTGATTAATCAAGTTGGTTTACGCTATTTTTATCTGTAGCAAACAATGTCTCACTACTTCATGCTCCTTACTTTTTGTCCTCCCAAGCTCTTTAACCACCTTCATTAGGTACAACTTTGTGTAATAAGGTAATATTGTTTTTTATTAATATGAGAAAAATACAAAGTAATCTTGTTTAATTGGTCTAATTGTATTATAGTGTTGTAAATTTAATTTTAACCAATCAGCTGAATTCTCTGATTGATTGACCAAGTTTGTTTACGCTATCATCTATCTGTAGCAAACAATTTCTCACCCCTTCATGCTCCTTAGCTTTTGTCCACCGGAGCTCTTTATCCACCTTCACTAGATTACGATCTTGTGTAATAAGGTAATATTGTTTTTTTATTAATCTGATATAAATATAAGGTAATATATTTTTAATAACTCTCCACCATAACATTCATTTCTCTAATGTCTTTGGTACTCGAATTTTGAACCTTAAAAATAATAATAATTTATTTACTACATGTCGTAACTGTCTTTCGGTTGGGCCCCGAGTTGGGCTTCGACTTGAAATAATTGGATTGGGAGTCGCCACCGACCACTTTAAAACGAATTTAGGTTGGTCGAACACCATCTTACCTGATCTGCGTTTTTACCAGAAATGTGTCGGGTTCGGGAGTCGGTTACGGTCAAGGAAGGATTAACACTCTTGAACCGCCCTTTCAATACCAATTAATTTGTCTGTTGTCTTAAATTAAGAAAATTGTAATTTAAAATTAAAAGGTAAAAATACGATCACAATTATTTACCTTAGATAGTTTTAAAGGTGTGGTCTTTTATTTCCTTTTCGAATCGTTTACAATAGCTTTGCCTTTGTATTTTCCGTGCTTTCCTCTGTATTTTGTTTGTAAATCGTGTGTTACAAATGAGGAGGATTTCATGTATTTATAGTGAAAAAACTAACTATTTTTAGAATCCTATTAATAATAGAATCCTAATGCAACTAGACTCTTTGCTCGGTTGTTGCACGTTTGTTGGTGTGGTTGTTGCTTTAAAAGATATGGTGGTGGAAGAGTCCTCCTAGGAGAGAAACTCTTGCTAGTTCTATCTTTTAAGAAAATAGGTGTCTACAGCTGCCCCTCTTTGTCCTTTTTCATGGAATAAAAAATAGGACAAAGATAAAAAGACACAAATTTTCATTCAGTGGAGTTGAAGAATAACTCCCTGTCGAATTGAATTTCGGATGGCTCCTCCGTCGCGAAGTCGAGTCCATTTGAAATGATTTGAATCAGAATGTGGCTTCTCGTTGTAGTCCACTTTGGTCTTCTTCTCGGTTTAAAGACCTTGGCTAAAAATTCGACTGGAAAGTAATCTTTTGACTCCAAAATGTGGTTGATACGTCCTCGAGCTGAATGAAACCGAACTCGAAAGGTCTTCGCTGAAAGATAGCTTTTTTCAACTTAAGTTATGCTGTCGGAAAAAAGGCTTCTTGCTACTACGGCACGACTAACCCAGACCTTCTTCTCGGCTTGAAAAACCTCGATTGTAGCCGAACAATAGTGTGATTGAGGTGTCATCGAGCTGAATGGAATCAAACTCGATAATTTTATTGACAGATATCCCTTCTTGCCTTGAGCTATACTGTAAATGATGTGCCTTAGAGCTGAGCATAGTCGAACTCGAAGGTCTTTTGGTGACAGATAACCATTCTAGCCTTGAGGTATGTTGTAAATGATATGCCCTCGAAGCTGAGTGTAATCGAACTCGAGGGTTTGGTGTTTCAAGAGAAACATTTTCAAAGGTTTTTTTTTGTGTTTCAAGAGAAACAATTTCAAAGGTTTTTTATGTTTCAAGAGAAACTGTATTCAAAGATTGAAGTTTCAAGGGAAACTGTCTCAAGAGAGACAAAATTTGTTTCAAGAGAAACTGTCTCAAGAGAGACAAAAACTTCCAAAAGAAACTGTCTCAAGGGATACAAGATTTGTTTAACGTAAAACATATTCAAAGATTTTGTTTCAAAGGAAACTGTTTTCAAAGTTTATGCTACAAGAGAAACTGTCTCAAGGGAGACAAAATTTGTTTCAAGGGAAACTGTCTCATGAGTGACAAAATTCATTTCAAGGGAAATGTTTTCAATGTTTATGTTTCAAGAGAAACTATCTCAAGAGAGACAAAACTTAGTTCCAAAAGAAAATGTCACAAGGGAGACGAAATTTGTTTCAAGGGAAACAGATTCAAAGATTTTGTTTCAAGAGAAACTATCTCAAGAGAGACAAAATTCATTTCAAGGGAAATGTTTTCAATGTTTATGTTTCAAGAGAAACTGTCTCAAGAGAGATGAAACCTAGTTCTAAAAGAAAATGTCTCAAGGGAGAAGAAATTTGTTTCAAGACAGACAAAATTTCTTTAAAAAAACAGTCTTGAGTGAAATGAAATGTCTTCTTTCGAGTGAAAATGGTCTCAAGTGAGACAAAGTCTGTTTTAAGAAAAGCAAACTAGAGTGAAATAAATCTTCTTTCGAGTAAAACAGTCTCAAGTGAGACAAAGTATGTTTTAAGAAAAACAATCTCAAGTGAGATAATCATCTGCATTAAATGAGACTGTCTCAAGCGAGACAAAATTTATATTGGAAATGTTGAATCTGAAGATGAATGTCGATCTTTCAATCTGTCGAGTTGGCTTTTAATCTCATCTTCTCCTGAAAGATCTATAAAATGCATTTGGATGTAACTATCATGATGATGGATGTTTGATGTATGCCAAAATGAAATTTATTTGTTGTTGAATTTGTCCTCAAGAGAGGAAAAATCAAGGTTTATATTGCTCATGATGATGAATGTAAATATGCAAATTTCATACGTCATGTATGTATGTGTTGATGTATAGGTTGATATGTGAGGGGAATGGTTGCGTGTGCAGTCTTTATTCTATCTCTAACTCAGGTTGTCTTCATTTCCACCAAGGTGTACTCTTGCAGACCTCAACCTAAGACAATTTTTCCTTTCCCTATCAAATTTTGGCCCAAAAATGGTTTCCTTTGCCTCAGTTTCGATCTTCAGCTTCGGATCTATATTTGTTGAATTCCAAGATATGCTTCCAGAGAACTTATCTTGTTTGAAAATGCTTTTCTTCTTTCGAATTTTCAAAATTTTGAAAAATATCAAAAGAAATTTTAAAAAATACTGCCCCTTCTAGGTTTCACAATTGAAGCAAATCATAAAATAAGAGTTCATTGGATATCACAAGAATCAAATTCTCTTTTAAGCTTAGATAACTTGCCCCTCTTTCTTGGTTTGATATTTTAATCGGATCGACCAAAATAACACAACTATTATAATCAATGGCTAGACCTTTCAGAATACTTCTGTTTCAGTTCTCTGAAATCTTTCGTTTGTTCAAGTTTTGTAAGCTCCTCTAATAAAGGTAGTGTAGAAATATTGGTCTAAAAATGAAATTCTTGAGTGCTCGTGTGTATTTGACTATAACAGGTGTTCCTTAACTCCCTTAGTCTATTTTCACCGAAACTCCTTATTTAGATTTAATTTGCCATTTTCTGGCCAACCGAATCCATAAAGCCAAGGCGTTCAACCAATCGCTTTAGAGTGAGAACTTAGTATTATAATCACTTTTACCAAGTTTAACTGAAGGGTTTGTCTCATCACAAAGTCTTTGGCCTGACAAAAGCAGTGGAGCAAACACCGAATTGCCAAGTGTCCGAGCAATGTCATGGTTTGAATTTAATCTATTCATAAAGCCAGGGATTCCAAGTTTCCTCTATAACCAATTGCCTTAGTGGAATAGCTCAGCTTTAGAGGGACAAATCACTAAAGGGTTCGTGTCATCACAAAGTCTTTGGCCTGACAAAAGCAGTGGAGCAAACACCGAATTGCCAAGTGTCCGAACAATGTCATGGTTTGAATGTAATATATTCATAAAGCCAGGGCTTTCGAGTTTCCTCTATAACCAATTGCCTTAGTGGAATAGCTCAGCTTTACGGATTTAATTTATTAAGATTGTCAAGAAGAACCTATTATAGTCTAGGTGTTTTTGAAACTTAAGGGATCTCATCTTTAGAGTTCAATTTCCAAACAACTGACCTAAACTAGATTGACTTACTCGACTATTCCATCTGTGAAGATCATTATCATCACTGAACATCATAAACAAAGGTATAAACTAATTAGCTTTGCAATCTCATGTGCTAGTTGTCCCATTCTGTTCACTCTTAATACGTGTCTGGATGCCAAACCTTGGATGGACTCGTCATGAGAAGAGAAAACTTAGCTCGGTAAG